CAATTTCCACCGTAGATAACAACGCGCAATTTCCGCAATATAAAGGCGCCGCGGTAGACGTATACCCAACTGTCAGTAGCTTCTCGCCGATGGCTTATCAGCCTATCCAACCTCAGTCGCGATTGCATTTTGCACACGATAACGTTCAACGTGTGCAATCTGTTGACAATGTACGTCATGCTACGCCAGCGCAAGAAATTCGATCTGACGTGGAGATCATTGACAAAAAGAAACCTGCGCCTCCGCCTAAGACCGACGACGACGAGGATGACGCCGATAACGACGAAGGTATACAGCAATATAATTCTTACCAGAGTACAATTCCAATTTAATGAGCGAGTTTGTTGTGCAGATTATGTACCTCGTGAGAAACAATACGCAGCAAATTCAGAGGAAGACGACGACGACTACGAAACTAGATCTGGAAAATACTTTAAGGCGCCAGCAACGGAAGGTAACTTTAAGCCATCGACCTCGTTTCCCTTCAAGCAATACGACGAAAAATTTGGCAAATATTCGAGTCAGAATCGTAACGCAGAAGGCGATAAGAAGCCCAAATATCATGATTATTCTTCGTCGAACGATGAGGATGACGACGAGCAAGCGCCATCAACTAAATATAACTCGGATCGCGCGCCATCAAAAAGTTTTTACAGTAGGCAAGAGGATGAAGAAAACGATGATAGACATGGTTATGAAAGACAAAAGACCGAAGAAACGTCCGATGATGCGAACGCATCTAAATACCTTGACAAGAACATCGACGAAGAGTTTGAAACATTGTACAGAAAGAAATTGCCAAGACAAGGTAAGTGTTCTTTAATTAAATATTGTTCTTTGAAGGAAAGAACAAGCAATGAAGCGGCGAATAATCGTAGAGTACATCCATCTGAAAGAAGTTCCAGAAGTAGAATATGGATCGAGCTCGTCGAAAGGAAACGGAAATGATTACGAGGATCCTTCGGGCGAAGGAAGTTTTAGGAATTTTAGGTATTTCAAAAATTTCCACGATTTCAAAGACTCTGAAGGATTTAATTCTGATATTGTAAAAAGCTTCAGCTTGCTGCCCGAAACGACGTACGGAGGATCTTTTGGATACAAAATACCTAAAAGAAACGCGGCATCTTAAATATGCGAATGACCTCATGATTTACCAAAATATGTTAGTATTTAGAATCTAATTATGCTGTATACTGAGCTCAGTGCATATAATTTATCTAAAGTTTTGATATGTTATTTATATTGTTATGTTTGTTTGTATATAATATATTGAACATAAATTTTTGTCGTAACTAAGACAATGTTAGATATTGGATTATTTCATTTCCATGAGAAAAAATACCTCTTCGTAAGAACATATCAGCAGGATATTGCGATATCGATCGAATAAGTTGACCTTCTCGCGCGAACGATATGGCCTACCGGAAGTGTGCGAGACGTAGTTATTTCTCGATATGTTTCTTGATATAAATATAACATAGCCACTTCGATTCATCAATTTCCGAACGAGTAACCAGTCTTCCGGCGACTAATTGTACAGCAACGACACCACGACCAATCGTCATTAAGCGACAAAGGCTTATAATTTTCCCGCGGTATTCCTATTTTTACATTTTCTCTTAATTGCATCAATTAATTTTGTCATTACATCGATGTCGATGGAGCGTTCTCTTACGAATTGCAATCTGTATATATACTCGTTCCACGAGTTGGAGAACTCAGTATCATCGATAACATCGTCTACAACTCTTCCAGCATGAAGATCACCTACATGGTAATAAGCATTTTAAGCCTTGAAATCTTTTTCTTAATCGCCGTTATCGAGGCAGTGATATTAAGAAAACGGAGAAAATTTTTCAGATCGTTGTTGCGTTCGCTTTGGTCAGCATCGCGGAGCCAAAATTGCCACCAAAAAGAAAGGAAAGAAGCGTAACTATATTAGAACCATCTGGTTATGACTTTCTTGGAATTGAGCCAATCTTTTCTACCGATTCATGGTCTCCAAACAGTTTTGGACCAATTCCCTGGAATGCTGCAAAAGTACCAGATATTCCCTTACCGCAAGTTCAGGTCCAAGCGACGCATGACGTCGCTCTTCAGGTATGGCAGACTAATTTGCATCCCTTTTAATTAAGAAAGTCCGCACTTTGCTTCACACCGTGGTTTCTCGTTAATCTCAGACGTTAAGGGAACCACCTAGTGGCACACCCAGCGTTGCATATCCTCCGGATGTGCTGAAAGCTATTCAACAGGCGAAGGAAGCAAATCAAAATGTAAATCGGGCGCAGCATAAGGTAGCAGAAGCTAAACAAGCTGCCATTGTTCAGCAGAAGGTTGCTCTGGCTAAGGAAGCTGCGGCGAGGGAAGCTGTGGCGCGGTAAATGCATGCATTTCACAAGATGTTTTCCAAAGAGTGAAATTACTTAGTTCAATACGTTCGTCGACTATTTACATGTATAGATCGCAAGAAATTTCGTCTGCTGCTGAAGCTGAAGCTAAATCGAGCGCAAAACAGTTAGTAGCTTTGCAACAAAGATTGGCGTCATTGAAGGATGCGGTTGCAGCTGCACAGCGGGTTGCCGCAGCAAGGGAAGCAGCTGCGGCTGCTGCCATTCAGAGAAACGCTGCTGCGACGGCTGCTGAGTTACAGAAACAGGACGTTGACAAACAGATCAGTCAAAGCGAGCAGGAAGCAAAGGTGACAAATCGTCAATTAGTTTACACGAGTTTGAACGGAGGCAGTTGGTGCACCGAACTGTTGTTAATTTACAGGAAAAAGATATAATCGCTGCCAAGGAGGAAGCTGTTGCAAATGCTGTACGATTCGCGTCATTAGGAAAATCGACGCATCATCCTTGGGGTCGTTAAACCCTTTCCACGTAAAATAACCACGAATGTTTTTTTTCTATTCTCTGTTATAGTTACGGTGATGGTTTATCTCATTTCTTATTCTCGTTACAAATAAAGTTTGTTTTCTGCAAAACTTATCGATTACTTCAACCGGCACATTGTGAATAGAAAGTGCGACGTGTGCTTTCACCAACAAATATATTGTACCATAAGACTCCGAGAATATATGCGGCTATATGTATCATCATTATTATCGCGCATTACGTTTAATCGCCCTGAGCGGAAAGAAGCTATCTCTTCTTATGCCATCGAACGAACGTTTTAGCGTCACATCGGTAAAAGATTATCTAACAACGCGTGATCGTGACGCACTCATCGGTCGATCATCGTGGTAACTGGATCGTTAAAAATAATCATGCTGGAACAATGTTGCTTCCTTTCACGAGAAACTCTAGCGTTAAACAAGGTGGTCAGGATCCTTTGAAAATTGCCATTTCCTGATCCGGCGTAAGACAATAGTGTAGCAGTTTACCGCGTATTCGTGGGAAGTGGCAGTGAAAGTGACGGTGGGCAGGGTGATTCGTTCCGCAGGAAGACGGTATCGATAGTCAAAGAATGCAATATCTAGTTACGTGCAACACAACGCCCAGCAGCCACAGCAGGAGAACGACCGAGTTAGATAAACTCTCTGCGTCGAATCTACCAGCGTATCCCAACCGGAATCCTTTCACTCACCTCTCTTTCTTGACCATCCGTAATACTCCCTTTCTCCCCGTTACGGTCTCCGCGATCCTGTCGAGCTGCTCTGCTTCTACGAATCAGGAGTAATTACGTGGGAAGAAAGTCGTTCGATCAAAGTCACTCTTTCTTTGCTCGATGTCTTCTATACTCGTTCTGTGACCATTCACCTCGATAATGGCCCTTTCTGTCAGCGCCATAGAAAGGAAACGAAAGGAATTCACCGATGTATCCTTGTAATCATCGTTTAGTTTGGCGAACCTAATGGCAATTTGGATTCGTTTCGATGTTTTCATAGAAAAGGGTCTTAAAAGTTACCCTTTCGTTCTCGAGATTTAAGTTTCTAGATGTGTCGCGCAAGCGATAAAAGGTATTGGCGCTTATCAACGGTTCTGTCGTTATCCAAGACTTACCCTGCCTCGTCTACAGAATCGCGATAGTCACCTTGTATAACTTGGGGTAGATACAACTATTATAACGAACAAGCACGCCTCCTTTCACGTCGAACTGTCCAACACTTTCATCTATACCGCTTTTTCGGATTTACTCGCTTTTTGCCTTTTACCTCACCCAGTTTTATTTGCTTTGCTTTCTTATTGCGTGAAAGATCGCGTTACTGCCAGTGAAACTAGCTGTAACTCGATTTTTGTAACAATCGGTGTCATGAAAGCGTTCCATTCTATATTCGTTTGAAAAAAGTTAAAGTCGTTAATTGCCAACAAATAGCTGCGAATTATTAACTTGTCCAGCGACTCGCGGTTGTCCTAATTTGCACACGTTGCGATATTGCAATAATAACGTCGATGCGAGATACAGCACAATTTCTGTAGCGTTCTATTTAATTCCTTTGGAACGACATGGTTGACTTTCATGCGAGAATTTCACACTGGTGACATCGCAAAATAAGGCAAAACGGAAGAAAGAGAGTAGGAAAAGAAATCGATTCCAACGCTGGATCGGTAGAGAGGATCACGGACGGTCCGCATAGGCGTTCACCACGCTCTCCGCGTTCTGCGTTACTTGGAAAATCTGACGATGCATTTCGTCGATGTACTCTGAACGAAGTAGATACAACGGTGTTTTGTCGAGAGAAAGCTTGTCCAAAAGCTATACGGGCTGAGAAATCTTGGTCCCAATGGATCGCGTCCATTAACTGCACTTATATTATACTATGTATATAGGTATGGCATACGGATCGATGTTTCCGTAATTAAGAATGAAATTAAATTACGCACGTAGCGGTGAAAGCTCGCTTGAATGAATCAAAGATCTATTACAAAGATTACAGTCTAAACTTCTAACTTCTTCCGATCGTGATCGCTTACCTTTTGGAATCTTCGATTCCGCCACGGTGACGTAAAAAACTAATTCTCGCCTGGATGCAACGGCGTCGAGTTTCAACGCAAATTGATATGGATGTAAGTATTTCCTACAGTTTAGCGTAGTCTTGGATATAAATGCGAGCATGCAAGTCCGGTTTTCAAGAGAGAAAGATTATCCACGCGTCTGGGAAAGGGAGAGGGAGAAAGCGTATAAAAAGGATTGGTCCATCGTCAAGCACTCGCAGTATACGTATTCGTTTCTTCATCTACTGTCCCATTAGTAATTGAAAAATGCTTTCTTGGTCTTTTGTAAGTATCCGAAAAAAAAAAAAGAAAAGAGGGTGGATACGATCGATCTGATGGACATACACGTAGGCACGCGAACGAGAGGATCTCGAATCTCGGGGGAAACAGTGAATCGTGACCGAATGTTACACATCCTTTGCAAGTTCCGCTCATAGCGCAAACAATGCCGGTGAAAAGTGAATATTGGTATTTGCATACTTTCTTCTATACGCACTTACGTATTTGCGATGGCGATGGCTCGTAAAGTCGGCAACATCGTGGCCCCTATTCATCCCGCGCTTTATATTCATACCTCGAAACGAAGTTACGATCGCACTCTGTGGATATGTCGTTGCAAATATGTGATTTACTAGCATCAGTTGACCGAGTTTAGAAAGTGCCAGCTGCGAACAACAGAACTTCGAACACGACGCGACTGATTTCTCTCGTCTCTACCCTATTTGTCCGTGCTCATACTTGATCGACAAAAAAATTAGAAGCCCGATATCGTTCTCGTGGACCTTGAATCTAACTATCGATTGTTTCAGGTATGGGTAGCAATCATATTCGCGAAATACGTAATTGCTAGCATCGAAGGTAGTCCCGGAGGTTGGCAGGGGTAAGAGATTATTTAGGTCTGTTTTTCATATATCTCGTAAATTGAAGCATTCGCCTAACTCGGATCGTTTGTAATTAATAGAATATCGGCAGGCAGCGATTATGAATCAGGACATGGCTTAGAATTAGGTGGCCTGTCCAGTTATGGTTCCTATGGCGGCGGTGGTGGACTGGACCATGGATTGCACGGAGGACAAGTTCATTACGCTGAAGCTGTACCGGTGAGCGAGCACGTGGAAATTACGAGGCCCGTGCCAGTACCTGTCGTCAAAAACGTTGGTAAGTTTGCCTCATCGATTAAAATGCCGACGTTAATTGCCATCGTGAAACTAGATAAGCGTTAAACCATAACCTTAAATTTACGAAGTGTTCGATCAACCTCATACTCTCGGCGACAATTCACACTTTGATCAAACTCTCATCCTCGATTATACGTATATATAATATTCGATAATTAACGCAAACCAAATGAACATCGTGAAATCTAATTCATCGTCGCAAAATTTCTTCGAATAATTGCTTAATTAAAAAACTTTTTACACTACTACAGGAGTACCGGTTGCTCAACCAGTGGCCATAGGAGTTCCACATCCAGTCGCCGTAGGAGTACCACAGCCCTATCCAGTTCACGTACCGGTCGCAAAGCCAGTTGCAATTCCCGTGGTGAAGACCGTGGCCGTTCCAGTCGAGAAGAAGGTTCCATTTCCCGTGGAAAAGGTGATACCGGTCCCAGTAGAGAAACACGTGCCTGTACCGGTGGAGAAACACATACCAGTGCCCGTGGAAAAACCGTACCCCATTCACGTGCCGGTTTACAAACACGTATTCCACAGGGTGAAGTCTCATGGTCACGGATGGAGTCATTAAACGTTACAACATGATACTCTGAAGATATATGCAGATTTACACGTATGGCCGTAACAGCAAGCGAGCGTAACTTCTGCGTGTGTATCAGCTAGTCTATACGGCAGAAGATTGCGATTCTCTTCCTCGAATGATCACAGAGAAGGCTCTTCGTCTTCGATCGGGCACACATTGTTGTATAGATCGAAGAAATCAACGAGCCATCTATCCAGGAGTCGTAAAATGTCTCCAATGCTGTTTGTATTTATGGTTGTCTGTTTTGTTGCTGTGTTATCAAATAAAAAATTAATTTTTAATTGAACCCAGCCTCTGTTTGTCCTCTATTCGCTGTAAATTAACGTTATTTGATCGATTACGTGCGTACTCTGGCAGATCTCTTTCGCCATCCATCAGAATTAAAAATAATAGATAGTTAGCCGTTATTTCCAACACGTGGAAAACTCCATTTATTACCTTCTCTCGACTAATTCTATTATTAACGAGCTTAGCTAACGGTAGGTCGCAATCGTTGCAGGATAGTTACAATGTAGTCGCAAACAGCCATTTTAATATGAGCGCACGTGCTCCCTGATCTGTCGGAATAATTACTCGTAATCTGACAAGTAATCAGATGTTATCAATAGGTTGGGCAAATTATACCTTTCCCATTAATTTCGATAGATCGCGAAATTTCGGTATTTTTGATATAACGGATGGTCGCTTCGTTAAATCATGTTGATATACAAGAGAAACATGATAAGGACTGAAGTCACGAATTTCGTTATATCTCACCCGCCCCCTAATTATTATTATAATTTTCTGGATAACAACGGACAGATAGCACAGTTCGTGTCTAGATGATCTCAAGACGGTTCGTTATGCTCTCTCCACAAGCTCGGATAAATTCAAAGCTACGTGAGCTAGACACGTGTATCAGATATCGTTGTACACGATCATCGTCAATTTGTCACATAGCGTGAGCATTTTCTATATCATTGCAGACACATAACTGGCGCGAAAGTTTCTAACAACGATGTTCTGGCTTTATTAGCGAAATAGTTTTAGCTTGTCGAATTAATGCGAAGCAAATAATATGGTAATCGGAAATCGATCTATACATTAGATGCTCTTAATGCTTTTTTGCGCATATATTATAAAACCACCCATTTCCACATTTTACATCTTTTATTTACATTTTCCAGATTGTTTGCTTACGTTTTACTTGTTCGTTTAGAGTCTTTTCTCTTCCGATTGTATGTACGCGCGCATAATAAAGCGAACAATTCCCTACGTCGCGAGGAATATCGTGCGATACACACGGGACGTGTTAAGTATTAGAAATTCTCGCGGGTGCGTGGGAATCACGATACGCTATGAAGTCGCTAAATCGTATTTTCTACGAAACTTTAAAGGAAAAGAGTCGTAATTACTTAATAAGAAAATCGTTCGATCTCGTTAATTACGTTGAATTCAGAAAAAATTGAGAGAACGATAAAGAAAAGAAGCATTGTGTTCAAAGTGTCCAAGCCATATCGGCAATGTGCATTCACGAGTCTAAATAGTTCCGTTACTTTTGAATATGTATCGACTTAACGGTGGGAGCACCGGTCAGTGACAGTCGATGAAAATTGTGAATGTACGCGAGCACTCGCCTATGAATAGAGCAGAAAATGTCTAATTCACACGGTGCTGGCGGAATCACAAAAATGGCCAATACTTACGACGCGTTCGCCGCACCGATACCTGAGAAATAGCGATTTATTATAGCGAGCAGGACTAAACTACACCGTCGACAGTGAAAGGCCCAGTGGTATATTAAGACGAGCAATGAGCAAAGATGTATCAGTCGCCGAAGAAACTTCTACAACTAGCAGTCAGGTGTATACTTGCATGCGCCTAAACATGAACAAAATCGTGAGTAAAGAATTCGGAAAATTCCTGTATCCACGCGACTCGTACACTTACGAATCGAACAATAAAGCTTCTTAACGGTTAATCGATTAAAGAAATTGCTCGTATTTTTCCAATGCATTTTTTCACCGTCACTGGCTAATAACTTGAAAAAGCGTTCGCCTTTTCTTTTCTCACTTTCCGTATTCCTTCCGACTCCTTGTCACCGTGACATTAATTAACAATAAAAGGGCGAGCAATTAAAAAATCGTTTATCAATAATTTTCCACACCACATAAAGACGTTTCATTTGGCAACCAGTAATCACAATTCTATTATTTACGGAAAGATCATCGCGTTCAATATTGCCACTATATTTACTCGCAAAGAAACGGTGCATTTTCTTTCTAAGCACATTCTATTTCAGTCAGCCGACATTCAAACGCACATTCACTAACGTGAACTTTACCTTCAACGTAGGTGCTACTTTCCCTGGTGTCCTTGGCCGCGAGCGTGCCGGTGATCGTGCAACAGAATCAAAATGAATTTCAGCCTCAATTACACGGAGGTTTTCAGCCGCTAGAAAGGTCTGATCAGGAAGGTCTCGGCACTTCCTCGAGTGGAAGTTACGGCAGTGATTATGGCGGTAGCTACGGTGGTGGTAGCTACGGTGGCGGTGACTATAGTGGTGGTAGCTATAGTGGCGGAGAATATGGTGGTAGTTACGGCGGTGGCTTTGGCGGTGGTGACTTTGGCGGCGGTCACGGTGGAGGCCTCGAGGGATCTTCCGGCGGACACTTGGAGTCTGGCGGTGACCACTTGGGCTCCGACTACTCTTCCCTGGGAGGTGGATACGAAGGTGGAGACGAAGGTGGAGTTTCCCTTGACGGAGGTCACAGTGTAGTGCAAAGTGTTCCCGTGTCCGAGCATGTTGAGGTAACGAAACCCGTACCGGTCAAGGTGGTTAAACACATCGGTAAGTTATAATTACTATTCTTTGTAAAAACTTTTCCTACCAACATCTCTACCTGTAATATATTTTACAAATACTTTGCTTTCAGGGGTACCGGTTCCTCAGATCTTGAAGATAGGCGTACCCCACCCAGTGCCAGTCGGTGTTCCTCAACAGTACCCGGTAGCTCATCCAGTTCCAAAATTGGTTCCTGTACAAGTGATAAAGACCGTCGCTGTGCCAGTGGAAAAGAAGGTTCCATTCCCGGTTGAGAAGCATATTCCAGTACCAGTAGAAAAGCCCATTCCTATTACGATCGAGAAGCACGTGCCGGTGCCAGTCATCAAACCGTATCCCATAAAAATACCCGTGTACAAAACGATCTACCATCACGCGAAGAAGCACTAAACTTTAGCGACTCGTTACGGAACGATCCATCCGACTGATACTAAAACGACTGCACACACGTTCATCGCTTTTGCTCACGGTTCGGTTCCAGATTGAACAACTATGATGGAATCGCGGTGAATTTGATCGTTGAGGCTGGCTAGATTTATGGCCGACTAAATTTTAATTGTTTTTATCCTGTATATACATGAAACAATGTTATCGCTGTTTATTTTTTTTAATTTTATAAATGTTACTGTTTTTGTTTTTCAATAAAAATGTTGAAAATAATATGCACAGCTTCTGTTTTTTGAGCGAGAAATTTAATCTCCAACAAGTTTGAAGCAATTTCCTCATTGTCTGTACTGTCGTACGTCAAACGTGATTAATGTTTCATCGGATCGATGTTTAATCGCAAAGATGAGATTGATATATCGAGCGAGCGCTACTTATGGTTAGCTGTAGCTTTACATCGCGAACGAGCTTCTCTGTTTCAAAAGAATATGAACACATGCTTTTCGAGAGAAATCGAATAAGCAAATCGAGGCAACTTTCCACGTAGGATTAGACGGAATGAATTTTTACGTAGTAGATAGATGCGGTCATTGTACTTTAACGCACTCAAGATCATAATCAAAACTTTCACTGGTATTTTCGATGCATCAGCTACAGATTCTATGGAAAGTGAATGTACATGTATATGTACCAGTTCAGGATGGAAAAGAGCACTTGATCAGCAAATGAACCTCGAAGACAGAGGAAGTCCAGCAAGGTTACAAATGAGTGGTCTTTACTTGGTTACTACTTTATATCTGGTTTAACAAAATTTAGAGGAAGTAGCATGGTCATTGCTTTCCTCTGTACTTAAGACAATCAATAGGCAATCATAAAATTAAACAAGCGATATCACGTCTGTGTATTAATAGCTAACACAGTGAAAAAGACATTCCTAAATAATTTACGCGCTTGTGATTAATCTTTCCAGTCATAAATCTATAAATAATTATGTGACTTTGTAACATCCCACAAACTGTCGTTGGATTCAGAGAAATACATAATATGGTAATAATGGCTACTTAACAAATAATGGGCTAGCGAAGATACGGGGATGAATCTTGTTTATTCAAAATAAGATATTTAATTTTTCATGCTTGATTTTGATAGAATGGCGAATCTTCAGGATAAAAGTGCTGCGGTACGTTTATGCTGAAACCTACCATTTCTGAGATATTTGACTTTGTTCATCCTATTACTTTCGTTATCCAAAGTGTCGACCATGTGCAACGGATTATTGCTGTATGTGTTACGATAGACTGGAACGACAAAAGAAGTAAAGAGTGCAACGGTTTAAAGATTACAACGTTGTATCGATGCACATGGTTGACACTTGGAACAATTTACATAACGAAAATAATAGAACGAGCAAGGTTGAATATCTCAGAAACTGTAAATTTTGGAACAAATGTATTTATATACTTTTACACTCGCTATTTTAAATTCGCTATTCTTTCGAAAACAAGCATAAAAAGTTGGACATCCCATCGAAAAAAAAATAAAAATTGGTCTGTATATCCCCACTACGCATCCGCCTATCACAAAATCATTATTACCATATCATGTATTTTTTTAAATCCTACAACTTTCGTTGTTAACATTTTCGCGTATTGTTGGAAATAACGAACATGTTCAGATATTTTAAAGTTTGCGGATACACTGTACAATGTACGTACAATATCGAAATATAAGATAGAAGTATACGTATCCTTATCGATCTTTTATCATTCACGCGTATACGCATCTTCGTGTCATCTAATGTTCATTTTCCTCATCCTGGCTTTACATTTTACTTTTATGATTATTATCTGAAATATTTTAGCATCCCTCAGCATGTTTCAAGTATAATTAATGTATCAGGCGACTAATCGCTATCAGGAAGTAGGAAACAGGAAGTATTCCGTGATTGCATATACGTTTGACCGTGGTTTCATTTCGTTTGATTTCAAGCGCATTCAAATGAGTGGTAGAAAGATATGCAATTAAGTCAGGTAATGAGACTAAGGAATGGAAATAAAGCAGCGCGGTGTCCGGGTTAGCATAGGATGGAAATCCTGTATTACGTAAGAGTTTCATCAAGCATATACGGTGTTTGCAGGAATAGAGAAATGTAACCCGATAGTGAAGGTGTCGAATAGAATTTCGCGTGATAGTGGGGTTGCTTGTCCCTTGTAGAACAGTATATAAAGTGACTACGCTAAGAATTTCTCTTGAGTTGGTCTTTTATTCAACACGTACTCGTATACACTGAGCAAGGGGACATGGAAAAAATCGTACGTCAATTTAATACGTGACATCTATATAGATACTTATGCTAGTAATCAATAACGAAAGTGTCATGTGGTTCATACGTAAACGAATCGACAATGTTCTTCTGTGATAGTAGACTCGTTCAAGATTTATCTTTTACAGATTGTAATTTTAACGATCGTTTCCTCCTGTTGCGCCGGGGAATTAGGATTTGGCGATCATGGATTAAGTTTGGGGGAAATTGCCGTGGGTCACGGCGAAGAAGAAATTGGTCTAGGTTTAGGTGAATTAGGTTTGGTCAACATATCAATATTATTCGTAAACGTTATAAATATTATTAGTAGTAAAAGAGCTACATTTGAAAACCGTATAAAAGACGAAACCATGTTTTATTTTATGTCAGGTGGATCAGAGCACGAGATCAGTCTAGGAGGTCACGGAGAAGGTGGACACTTCGTACCATCTGTGAAAACAATTGGTATGTGAATTAGTATCAATTAAACATAGAAATTCACATCACATTTGGTTTAATTGCAATAGGAATACCAGTCCCTAAGAAGGTTCCTTTGCTGATACCTCACCTGCAGGTTCAACATATTCCACAGAGTTATCCAGTTCCAGTGTTCGTACAAAAACCTGTTCCATATCCGGTAAATACTCTCGATTAAAATTTCATCATTCCTTGAAATGTCTTTTAAATATTTAACCTGGCAAAATATTATTCGTTTATTTTAGGTGGAGAAGCAAGTATTTTCGAAGGTGGAGAAGAAAGTACCCACGCCCGTCGAAAAAATCATTCCAGTGAAAATTGAGAAGCCCGTTCCATTCACTATAGTGAAGCATATTCCTGTTCCAGTGGCGAAGCCTATTCCAATTAAGATTCCAATTTACAAAACAGTAGTGCACAGCTCCAAGAGCCATTAAGCCTGTGAAATTGGCGTTGTTGATTGTTCTTGTTTTAATCGTTGCGGCAGAAGTGCGTCGTTGAAATTACAGTTTCTACGTGTTTTATATTTATATTGTTTTGTTATACATCGTACTTAATAGTTTCGTGCGTTAAAATTATTTATTAATAAATGTAATTATATTAATTACAAATGCATCGTCCACACTTATTTACACCTGTTAAACAGCAAAGCTAGTTCTCGTTTTTTAAATTATTTATTCCATTGTTCAACTTATTTTATTAGCTAAGCTATTTTATTCTACTCTTCAATGTTGTCAATTAAATTGTATAAGAATCATATTGAATCGTCTAGGCTGTTCTTTTCGTCTATAAGAACAGATGCAGAAAGATTTACGTGGTATTACGTTAACGGAATGTTACAATTATTGGTCTGCGTTTCACAATGGAGATGGAAGGCACGGAGGAGAAAGGAGAATGTGGTACGATCGAGGCATTCGTAGCGAAAGCCATCATAATAATCGTCTTCCTCTGTCATTGACCTTCGTGAATTCGACTGCGGCGGCACAGAAAGAATTCGCAAAAAGAAAATGTACGAAATTCTTAGATGTCAGATGATAAAATTTTACCGAAAAATGAGAAAGGAAATTCGAAGAAGACTTTCACTCTCCTTTTCTTTTTTTCTTACAGTCCCTCGAACGCGGAATAACGCGAAGTCGACATTAAGAGGAAGATCATAACTCATAATGATCTAACCGTTGGAATACTTGTAACGAACGAGCGCATCGTCCCTCTATCTGACAAAGGTGCATTAGCATAGTAACGTGGTCACGATAAAAAGAGCTGAAAAAGAATGTTGGAAGAAAAACCGCGATGCGGAAGAAAACTAAGGCGAAAGTAAAGCATAAAATGATCTACCGTTCTGTTGATCTTGGCAATCAGGAGATTGTAAAAGAAGGGAGAACAGCTGCTAAAATACATCGTGTAGGTATGAGAAACTGTACTGTAGGAGATTATTGACCTCCTCTGTAGAAACTCGTTAATATACCCTGGCTGACATTTCCATTTTTACGAATAATCAAGTTGGATTTTATTTGTACGATGCAACAGAAGAAGCGGAGGAATGACGTAAAGAGATTATTCAGAAGAAAGTTTAATATCCGGGAAAGAAAAAAGAATTCGTTAATAATTCCTCGATGTCGAGACAATTTGAAGATTAAAATTTTATATTTATATATATACTTATACTTCGCCGCTCTTTATACATCTAAGCACGATGCTACTTTATTATGATTCTCATTACTCGATTGAAACAATCGATTAAATTAACCTGAAATAATATTCGGAAACGGTAGACTTAATTAGCCGCGTAGAAGTATAGAAAAAAGTGCAGGACTTCCTCTCACGATTCCTTTCGCGTACACCTCTCTCAACCATCACTTCCGGTAGTCGATAACGAGCATAATTCATTGTAGCTATTTGACGTTAGAAACAAGATCAAAAGGAACAGTGAAAGAAATGGTTGCTACAAGAAAAAGTTCCTCGGTAAAAGTAAAATGTGTTCTATGCGTAACGGTTTTTAAGAAGCATAGATACACTCCTATTGTATATCAAACGTTCTACCCTTCTTCAAATTTCTAATCAAAGAGAAATCGCTGTTTTGTCTTATGTAACGAACGTCGATCGCGTCTGTTAAACGAACGCTTTTTGGTTGGAACAACCAATCTTAAATCAAAAGGAAAAACATTGACAATGTTACTCGCTTGCGATCTGGGGAGTGATCGAATATACCTTGAGCTATATACTCGTCAGTACGTACTCCAGCGTACTTTCCATGTAAGAGAAACAGAAAAATATGAGAAAGGGTTGAACGCACAAGCTTTCCTCCTCAAGTACACCTGCTGAGCAGACTAAACGACTCTTCGACTTTTAATAGATAAATTAGAACAAAAACGGGTAGAAATGTTACTTTCGCTTCTTCGAAGAGGTTGAGTGTTCTTGAATCGTGTTTGAACTTTGAACGCCATTAGATTTCTATGGCGAACCTCGTTTCTGCGTACATAGGATCTGTTCAAGCAATCGACAGCGTAGGTTCGACATTTAATGTGACATGCATCGCGTGCCACACTCATTAATGAGATTGCGCTCCGCTTAAAACAGCATCCGTGTTCGTGATAAATAAACAAATAAATCAAACCGTTAAAAGGCTGATCATATAGCTTTCGCTTTCGAGAAGATTTTACCCCAGCGTAATTAATTTCGCCGAACAAATTTAATAAGACGAGAAGCAAATTGTAACTTCCGAGTTTAATGCGAACGCTGTCTCTATATTTGGGACGACGGAAATTTGCACAGAGGAAGCAGTATACGCTCGTAAATCCAACCGAAATCCGAGACAAACTTTCCACCGTGAAATGACAGCACATTGGTACACTATCTCTCATATAGAGATATCATCGTATTATATATGGCACGCATTCGCATTAAATTCACAACGTGATTGCAATTATCTCTTAATCTCTCTTATCTCTAAGAATCTGGGATTAATATACGTGTTTAATATGTCGAACGATGAGAACGATGAGAGATTTACGATTACAACGAAAAGCGAATTAAAAATGTTTTGGCATTTCTCTTGGGCGTAGCGAAAAGTACAAAACGAAGAGGGCAACAGATACACTTTCTGCTCCCGTCTCTTAATCTGCCTATCTCGACTCTGTGATAAAACAGAAATTTACTTTTACAGGAACAAAGATCGGCGTGTCCGATCGGTTTTTTCACCAAGATTCCTTTCACATAGCGAACGTGTTTGGACTTTCATTTTGTCGGTCCGAAAACTTTGATCTGCTTCGAGTGCCTTTGCACAAGAGATCGTTCCTCACCTTCACTTCCGGTATATTTCAGAATGGTCGATTGACATCAAAAAAGAAATCGAATTTTGAACAACATGGCACAGGCTAGATCGCTCCAAGAAAATGAGTTTAATTTATGCCTATAAATATTTAACGAGCTTCATCGCGACAACCGTTTCAAATATTTCATCTTACATACATAATGAACCGTTCTCTTCACGTTGCTCATCGAGCCCATTCGAATCATCTCTGGAAATTTTCTTGATCGCACCAGGCATTCGCTTCCGGTAAACGTAGCGACCGTCTTGCGGTTGCATCGGGAGTCGGGTTTGATTTTCCGCTTCACCGATCGTTGCGCCGCAAGTCATCAGATACGATTTTTCTACACGCAGGTGCTTAATTTTCGTGTTTCTAATGCTGATTCTATTCGAATTGTAACTGTTAATAAATATAACGTGCCAAGTTCGTTAATCTTCGAGTCAGGTGTATGATATTTTGTTTCATCGTTGACAGTTATAACGTATAAATATTTGCTTGTAAGAAAACTACCGACACGCTTTTTTCATTCAAGCGCAATATTATCCATTAAAAAGAAAGCGTAATACCAACGATGGGATACTTTTACGCTGTGTACTTCCCGCGTCCGTAAATACACGTAATCTTAACTTCCGGCCAGTCATAGACGGAGAACGGTCAATGAGCCGCGTGAAAAATAAAACAAGAATCTTTCATACTCATTGGTGGTGTATAGAGTTGCGAAGGTTGGTCGATGGTAAGATGTAGTTTGATATATCCTGGAAAGGGTCGGAACTGTAGTGCATGAAATCAGTGAAAGGTGGTGGAATCGATGTTAGTATATAAGCTCGGTATTCCATTGCCGTAGACACTCAACGTTTTGTGCTTTAACGATAAACACCTTTTCGGGAAACCTACAACTATGAATCAAATTGTAAGATTTATACGACAATTGCATAAAAACTTGAAAGATGATAGATGAATTATGTAATAGTAATTTGCTCAAATTGATCGAAAATGTAAATGTATCGCCGACCGAAAAATTAAGCCTAATTACCTGATATGTTGTTTGATTCGATCAACGGCTGAATTAGAACGAAGATTATAAGACGTAACGTATCGATACGCAGGATCGATGATTATCAATCGAATGTTTGTAGATTGCTCTATTTGGTCTGGCGATGATCGTCGGGATCGTTTCTGCGGGCCACATCGAAGAAGACCATGGAAGCTCCACCTACGAGGAAAAGACGAAACCAGTAGAAATCCCAATTTACAAAAAATATGGTAAATATCTATACACATATAAAGAACTAAGAATCTTTCAAGACACAATAATATTTGCTCGTTGTGCAATTACAGCAATTCCAATCCCTCATCCTGTACCAGTCGAAATTCCTCAAAAGATAGAAATACCAATTCCTCAACCTCAACAAGTTCCCGTTGAAATTCCACACCCCTATCCAGTGGAAGTTGTGAAACACGTCGAAATCCCTATCGAAAAGCCAGAGCCTGTTATCGTAGAAAAACACGTAAGTAAAAGTATCTAATTATCGAACAATGGCGAAGTCACTGTTGTAAAACTTCGTATCGCAATAACTGTATCAGGTGTCACTATATCATATGTAATCGTGTCCATCTAGATACCTTTTGTGGTGGAGAAGCCGTATCCAGTGTACGTCGAAAAGAAATTTCCCATTCCAGTCGCAAAGCCGTATCCAGTTCATGTGCCAGTTTACAAGCACGTATTCCATTACACTTCAAAGGGCAAAGGATGGCACTAGACTGATTCGCTCGCCACTGAACACTTGGGAATTGTTCTTCCTGCGACTGATCGTTTTACGGGAGAGCTTCTTGTCACCTGATACCTAAACTTATTTAATTCAACGAACATACTGTTCATCGTTTGGATTACTGTGAAACAAATGTCAAGAAAAAGAGACACGATATTCGGATCTCAACACTGATGTTAATGTTGCCAATATTTTTGTTATGAATTTTATACACTTGTTAAGTTTTCTACCGATTAATAAGTGCTTGTTAATAAAGCCTATTTGAAAAGTACCATTTCTTTTTTGTTTAATTCCTGTCGATCGAATCGGCGTGTTAAATGTATAGCAATGAAGTTGAACTGCAGCAATGATCTCTCAGGTAGCGATCTCGGTAAAGTGATAGTTCGTTCGTCTCTTCCTGTTCGCGGCTACACAAAGAATAAAAAGGAAACACGTAACCATAAGTTTCGTTTCTTCGTCATCCGGTGTTACGAATCTACTAGAAACCAACCAGTCACCGATAGGAATTCTGTGCGATCTTGATTCGCCATAATGAGCCCGACAACAGACGCGTTCCTACATCGCGGCGCAAAACCACTTTTACTTGGGATACACTTTCACTGTTCCGCTCGCTGATACAGAGAGTATCGTGTACAATTCGAATCTTCCAGGCAGCTTCTCTCCCATGACCACACCCCAGGTGGTTACCTCCTTCTCATAGCGATTTGTATTACTAATAAATATAATATCTCTATTCTATTTTACGCCCCTTTACAATTTACGCCGTGGGCAATGCATGAAATTTGCTAGGCTCTCGTTTTCACTCGCTAGTTAAACGTGTGCAGCTGTAGAGAGATGAGAACGTGACGCTCTATTCGAAAGTTTGATTTACTTGATTTACATGCACCGGGATGATCGATGGAGATTCGATACATTACACAATTACCCTAGGTAGGGTATATATTTAGGCATAAGTGATTGGGTTACAGGTGTTGTCTGACACTGATCTTAATGCCCTAGGATTAGAGAAAGCCGGCTTCGTTAAGATTCGCATAATTGTACTTTGATTAATCCCTGGAGGAACGATTATTCCCCTCTTAAGCGCATTCTCTGCGTAAAAAATATAGCGAAAAAAGTTCTTTGTAAATTACATGGTGCACCATCTCGATCTATGCTATTCGATCGTCTGACGGTAATTTACAAATTGTTAAGCGCGCGAACTAGACCATGACCAAGTTGTATTTGTCTTGGTTGACTAACCTCGTTCTCGGTTGTTTACTGCAAAGGGTGCTATATTTAAACGTAACACGAACGCCAAAAATTTATCGTTTACTGTCTTTATCGATAAGAGAATATTCGACTATAGTCGATATCGAGGAATTTAATCGAGACAAGGAGTTTCCTTTCACTGTAACTATTTGTCCGCGAACAATGTATCGTTATTTCCATAAATGATGAAAATCGAAAGTGCGACTGCGTTTGCTATCCTTGGAATCGGTACCTGCGAATTCTTTAAATATCTTCCGCTTGCTCGTTTAATAATTGACCGGATAAAAACGCACGAGACAACAATCTCGATTAATTTAACGATCTCAATATGACAAGTTCGATTTTTCTCCTCCAAAACTTCCATAACCGGAATAGAAAAGATTGCAATGGTATGCAAATAACAGGAAGAACTTAACTCAGCCATATACAAATGTGATATATCTGTGCAGACAATCATAGAGATAGTACTCTGCGACGAGCAGAAAGAGTAAACGTAATAAAGAGAAGGGAGAAAGTGACGTTGGTATATAAGCACTTGGCCATGACTTTGAAAGCATCAAAGTGATCGTGGCGAGTTAACACGACAGGTTGCTGAGGATTCGCTCTGGTGTGGAAATCATGAGAACTCTAGTAAGTTTCTGATCATCGATTTTTCTGCTAATCATGAGATCATCGTTCAATTATTTTCGTCGCACAAGATGTCAAGCATCAAAGTACTATTTTCTTAATCTGTATAAATTAACAAGCACGATTATTGATTATAGGTATTCGCCGCTTTAATTACCTTGGTATGTGCCTCCTACGAAGAGGATCATGGCAGTTCCACCTATCATGAGACATCGAAACCCGTGGAAATTCCTATTTACAAAAAATACGCTATACCAATTCCACATCCAGTTCCAGTTCCAATTCCGCAACAAATTAAAGTCCCTATTCCGCAACCTTATCAAGTCGAAGTTCCAGTGCCGCATCCAGTGCCCGTAGAAGTAGTCAAGCACGTTGAAATTCCGGTAGAAAAACCTGAGCCCTATGTGGTGGAGAAAAAGGTACGATGAAACGCAAAATTTTTTGCTTTATATTACATTTAATTGTTTAATGGTTGGTAGAAATGCTCGAGCATTGTACGAATATGTAGAGCAAAAACAAATATTAATATTATTTCTCGCAAAACAGTTACAATAATTATCGTTAGAGATATGACCGCGCTGTTTAATTATTCCAATATATTATTGTTATGAAATATAATTATAATTTCATTCTCATGAAATTTAACGTAAAATTACTTACGATCTGACCTCATTGCACGTACATAGCTATTGCAATTCGAACGTATAGGAATTACTAGAATGTTAATATCGCGCAGGTACCATATGTTGTTGAGAGGCCATATCCAGTGACAGTTGAAAAGCACTTCCCGGTGCCTGTTCCGAAACCATACCCGGTCCACGTACCTGTCTACAAACACGTATTCCATCATCAAAGCAAGGGACACGGTTGGAAGCACTGATCTTGAGAGTTGTTTTTCCAAATTTCAGACAATTAGGCAAAAAAATATATATATATATATACGTATTTATATATGCACACCAAATCGAAAATTATAGTTTCTTGACATTATGACACTTGTACATAGTTCACTATTGTTGTAATTATACTATTTTTGTACCGTTTAAATAAATTGTTTTTGTTTTCATAATATCGTTAATCGTTCCTCTCCCTTCGATAGAACATCGATTCATCGGAGCAATTGGAAAGTTTCGAAAGCGTGTAGTTTAGTCGAAGTAACGTACGGTCGAAGTAACACTGACCACCTAAATAAATAACTCTATACGTTAGCTTTTTCTTGTTTCACAGTATTTCTCAACCAGGTCGGTAAAGGTATGACAATGATTTTATCAATCCGGAGACTACCTCCTAGTCGAGAGAGTTCTTTTAACTCAATTGCTGCTGAGATTCTAAAAAAAAAAAAAAAAAATAATTACTTTCTGACCCGAAGTAAGTAAGAAAAAGTAAGTAAAGATCGACCATCTTACGACGATCTCTACCCCGTTGTAATTTTATCGCTCTTAACGATACGAACCTGGCGAGTACTTTCCGCGTTCGAATCATTAGTAATTAACTACCATGAATCTATTCACGAGGCATTATGCGCCTTGAACGATACATAGTTCGTAATCACAAATCAATCACGAACGTAATTTACTGTCACTATGATGGAAACGGAGACACACATATATATATACACTCTGTGGATAAAACCGTAGGATATATTTCAGCCGAACAAACTGTTTTACCTTTTTGCGAATTTCTGTAGGCAATACCCGGAGCGATGCAATGTGTTACGAGGCTTGCCCTCCGGTTTTCTCGAATCACAAACCAGCCAATGACTGGCGACGGTGTGGTAAATGACGAACGCCAACCTAACGACAGCGACATAACAGGGCTGTTCGCCCGAGGTGCAGAATTTATTCAGGAAATACCGGGGCGCGACCACTTGCATCATAGGCTTGGCTGTCGACCGCTTTTTACGCCGCTTAAGGGAATCACATTCGTCTTTGGTCCGCAAGAAACTTGCCCTGTTTAAGTGTAGTAAAAGTTTATAAAACCAGGGACCACGCACAGCGCGCTTTTAGTTTTGCCCGGGACTTTAGTACCGACGTTTATCGAGAAGATCGTTCAACCGACACTGAAATCATGTTCAGATTGCTGGTAAGCAAACAGACAGAAGAAACCTCGACACTTTCCACTTTTTCAATTTCGTGATATTCACTGATTGTTATGTCTCAATTTAGGAACAGAGTAGCGCGTATCTAGTTGTTCTTTCATGTACGGGATAAAGAAATGATAAGCGAGTTTCTAACGTTTCGAGGTACTTGTACATTCTAAAATATTTATGTGATCTCTAGATACCGTGCCTGATATGGCTGTCAAGCGTCCGCTCGGAAACCGCAGTGGACATGCACATGCACATGCCGGATGGCATGATGGAAGACAAAGCGGCTATGAAAAGGGAGTCGTATTATAACCCGTGCCCTCCGACTTACTCGCATCCTATCTCGTACTCGCCGCCACCGCAAATTTACGTGAAACCGTACGTGCAACCAGCGCCGATACAGTACATTCCGAAACCGATGATCACCTACGTGAAACCATCTCCACCACCGGTCGTTGTGAAACCAGCCCCGGTAATCGTAAAGCCGATCGTTCAACAAAAAGTGGTTTACCCGATCTATCAGAAACCAATGATCTCGTATGCGCCAATCTATCAAAAACCCATCTATTACGCGCCTATGTATCAGAAATTGATGTATCAGGCACCTAAGGTGTACTTGAAGAAATACGAACTACCGATTACTCAAGTGATTCAGAAGCCTCAGATTTCATATCCCATTCAGTACCATCAGCCGAAAGTGGTACAGATCCCGGCGCCACAGATCAATTTGGTGAAGCTCGCACAACCTATCGTTCATACACAGCCTATTTACCAGTCGCCCATAAAACCGTACTGCCCTTAAGAAAAATTCATGGACAAATGTCACGGTGCGATTGCAACGATCGAGTCGATCGATCGCTTAGGTCTTTTGAGAACGTTCCGGAAAATCGGAAGATAATTCGGCGTTTCCGAGAAACTTTTCGCCCATTGAAACGACCATGTCGCGATAGCCTTAACCTGCCATAACTATCAGCGTAGTGAAGCGTAATTTAGCGAAATATCCGTTTCGCAAATTGTACAATAAAAACGAAGGAACTATCAATCTTGCTGTTGAATGTGCTTACCCTAACCGTTCGTCCTCCAACTTTCCCCTTTCCAGCCATTTCGTAATCCCAGCGGCAACTCTTCTTCAATATCGCGAAATAAGAGCTCTTAACTCGACTACGACCCGATTGAAACTCGTTAAAAGCTTAAACCCTCGCCCTACACCATGTAGACCTGTTTCAAACGTAAAGTTTCGATAGCCGACTAATTTTCGCAAAACTTTGCCAACCTTTTCATTCGCCAGTACGATGCTGACCTAGAATTTCATAACAGACCAATGTCCTTTCTGCAATACGGAATTACGGCAGTCTACAGATATCTCCCGTACTGAGATTGCCTTTCTCGAGATCTTAATCCGTCGACCCGTGGAAACTCATTTTCTCATGAAAGTTTCCTCGATTATTCCGGCAAACCGAATAGCATTGCTCTTAGGATCGCGTATTATCTGCTTTTGCCCCTTCATCGATTTGTAGACACCGGTTTTCGACAAACAAACTTTGGAATTCGTTACACGCAATGAAACTCGTTTTCTACTGATTTCGTCGGCGATATTACAAATTAGGCGCAGTATACCGTCAAAGTTGTTATCTCCCTTTATGGTAGTTTACTGTACTCCTATTATGTACTGCATCTATGTATTCGGATTTCCTCTTTAATTATCATAAATTACATCGGAAAACGGAGAAGCTGCGTGATTCAACGTAAACGACATGTTCCGTCATATCTGCGCCTTCTGTTAGACCGTTCGATTGCGCCAGATCGATGTTCGCCTTGGTCTAAGTAAGGAATTAATTACGAGCCAGTTGCGGTGAGCTTTCCAATCGATCCCCGATTATTTCGAAGAATTGCTATTTCCACGCCCGTTCGCCACAACGGGCAATCCTATTACGCAAGTCACAGCGCGGTTTTTGTAACCGACAACGTACGGGGGTGTAATTTTCCAACTTTCTTATTTACACGGTTTGTCGAAATTCTTAACCAATGTCGCATATAAAACGAATGTTTACAAGCAGATTCTTTAGTAAAACTGTTGAAGATCGTAGGATAGTTCTAGGACGTCGCTATGACATACAGTATGAGATACTACGTAAGTAAGACGAGTGATATTAGTTTCGTGACTTGGATAAAATTTGATTCGTCAGATGCGTGACTTCTCTGTTGCAGTTGTGTCTCGCGATCGTTGTCGTTTGCGAAGCGGCAAGAATACCCAGAGTAACCGAGCAACCATATTTTCCGAATTTTCAAGACATTTATCCGAATCGTAATTATCAAACTGAGTCAGTGAATAACCACGATGATGGGCCATTTTTTGGAAACTATAGAGCGCACGAAGGGAACGCAGCTATAGGAAACGAGTTTTACGATCATCGAACTCCCATCGGTGGCCGAGCAAATTTTGTTCATCATCTCACAAGAGGTAACGCGAGAGTATTGTTAATCATTTCCAAAGTTATTAGTAAATCTTTCGTTTTTCAGTTCCGTTCGAAGAATTTAGAGGCCGAGACGCAGTTCCCCGGCATTATGATCGATTTAACCATGCGATTAATTACGATTATCAGTTATAAAAGTTTTATCAAGTTTACGTTGATCTGATGTATATCGAATATAATTAATGCTGCAAACGGATCGAGCTAGCAATCTCTTTATTTCTCCTTGTTCCTTTATATTCAATATATATATAATATATATTGAACGATATATAGGATAATATAGGTTAATATAATAATTTGTGTAAATAACATTATTAGAAAGAAAACAACGACGGGGTAATTATTATGCTAGGCTCTTCTTTTGTTCGATTTTCTTTTTTTTTTATGTACAATACTATTTTGGCTCATGACGTTACGACTTTGGACCATACATACGAGGATACTCCTTCGAGATAGGAGAAAATGAACGTATCCTCCAAAAACGAGTACCTGCTCGATCATGAATCAAGATCATTTGACAGTTAGGACGCTAATACTCTAATCGCGGCGGATGACACCAGTGACACCACCACTGGCGTATAATCTATCAACTATGTCCGACCGTAAAAGCATTGTTTGAAGTAAAATATAGCGAAAGAATCGTCACGGTGGTGGCAAATTCCTTTTGGCATTAGGCATGAAATACACGCGCTCGTACAGTCGCTCACTTTCCTCACGCACCCGGTACGATAGAATTCAATAATAGCGTTAACAATCGAAAAATATTGAAATCGACGAATCACACGACACGCTCGACATGTGTGATCCGTTTCTCATTTATATCTTATAATATGTATAATAAATATATAATATATATATAATATATATACTTATTAATATAAGAACTTGACTAGATCATTTTAGTTTTTATTGACTCCCTTATTTAGTCTAGGTACTTGCTCGTGCGACGACGGAGAGTATGAAGTTACAAGATGTTTCTCTTATAAAAAAATATTCAGGAGAATGAACTAGAGTACGAATAACGCGGTTTGTCTGTTGCTTCCGGTTCTCAGCATACTGAGAACGATAGCTAACGAGGCTTGATCCCAATTCCAGTTGTAATTAACGTTAAGAGCGGATTCTCCGAATACAGCAGCACCTCAACTTTTTCCCAACTTTCTTAGTCGATCTATCGGCCATCACACGTAGCATTCGGTTTTAGGACCCAACTCGTATTCCATTTCCTCGTTGTTGTACATATCCATAACCTAAAATACGTTATTCAAATACATACTTAATACAATTTACGTGATGGCATTTTCTGGACTAGTACAAGGCAAAAGATATTTCATTTACCGCATTCATGTCTTTCTGCAATTCCTCTAGTTGTTTCTCATGAATGAGTTTCAACTTCTCTTTTTCCCTATTTTGAATCAGTTGTGCGATTCTTCTCTCTTCCATAAATTTTTTCGTGTTGTTCTGCTGTTTTTCTCTAAGCCGACCCTCCTTGATTCCCCGAGTCTTCAACGTTTTATCGTTCATCACTTCCCTCATACTTTCTACCGAGAGTCTCGCTTGTCTCGCGTTCATCTCTTTGATCTCGCGCTCGTGTCGTGCAGTAAGTTGCTTTTGCTGGGCCAGTTGAGCAGCCACGCATAATTTTCGCAAGCTATTCCGTCGTTCCTCCAGATGAGAACGTACCAGGTCACGTTCCTCGCGTCGTTGCCTATCCGCCAATCGAGACCATTGAACAGTTTGTTCGGAAACTTCGCGACGAACGGTCGGGTCTCTCGAAAGTTCCGCTTTGCTATTGAAACAAGAAACAAAGCAAACGAAGAAAGCTGAATCTCTCGTCCGAAAGTGCGTCCGGTAGCGCTAAGAATTGCTCATACTTTTTTCCTTTGATGATCTTCTCTATCGCAGCACAATGTTGTTTCTGGACGGCGAGTTTCTCTTTCTGGTGCCTCTTCTTCAGGGATTCCAATTCCTTTTGCTGTTTCCTCAGTACTTTTTGATATCCTTTTTCTTGTCGTAACAATTCCACCGTTATGGGGTTGAATTTCATTTCCTCTGAGAAAACAAACGAGCCTGTAAATACGCATGTTCAACGTGGATCGTCTGAATCGTTTACCTCGCGGTTTAGGTACTTCGCGGTGATGAGCAGGCATGGAATCAGAATGTCCTTTACTGTCGCTCTCTTCTATTCCAAGGCCACGCATTTTATTTTGCGACGCATTTTCAGGTTTCTTGTAGGCCCGTGGTGCCGTGAGCGCGTCCATAAATCCTGTGAAATTAAACTCGAATGAAATCACCTGTCCAACGACCCAGAGCGTCATCGAAGCTCACCTTCGTAGCCATCCGGTACGTAAATCTTGATCTCGATATTACAGAACAGCATTGGCAAGGACATGGGAAAGTTTGCCTCGGTTCGCAGAGATATATGTCTATATCCTGATTGTAGACCGTCTAATGGGACGATTCTTTGACCTAGTAGCTTGCCGTTGGATTCGTCGTAAACCGCGAATCGCAAGGCTGCTAAATCGGGAAGGACGACTTTCCGAAAGAGAAAAGGTTCTTCATTGTACACGGGATTCAGGCCATTCGCTGGAACTACTCTTGTCCGAAATTCTTTACGAATCGTATCTGTCGGTAGACCGTACATTTCTACTTCCACGTACGTTCCGACTTTCTTATCGGATAAAAATTGACCCGCGATTACCTGCCAATACGAACGCAAATTACCACGAATGTTTTCGAATTACAACACGAATGGAATTGCGAAATACCTGGACGCTACATTGTGTAGCTATTACACCATCCACGGGGCTCTCCGCGAAAGGATCGAAACTTCGATCGGCTCGTCTCATGAAATCTGGTTTCAGTAGGTAACCAGAGGAACCGTTATACTCGAATTTTCCCTGATTCAACTGCATCGGCAAGTCCGCGGTTTGGAAATTTAACGACACCATTTGACAGCCAGCGTTCCAGAAGACCTATTTTCAATGATCGATCGTTGGGACGATACGTGAAAAGGCCATCTGTGTTCGCGATCTATTTGTTGCAAAAATTACCTGTGGCATATAATTCGATGAATCCGCTCGAGTGCCTTTCGGATAAATGCGGCTCATTTGACGCTTGTTATAATTGACGAACTCGATGGCTTGCGTCTTCAAGTAATTCAGGCCAGCGGTTTCCGCGAAGGAAGACATATTGTGATGAATATTCTTTTCTGTACAAGAGGGCACGTACATCAATCTTTTCTCTCTTTTAAGCGCGTTACTGAGGGAAAGCTTTGCCTTACGTTCGGCAATATCGAAGCCCGGGAATTTTATAGGTTGAGCATAGTTGACCATAGAGGATAACCATGGGTGAACATTTGTTGTACTTCCGGTATACGGCTGAACCACCGCTAATTCCAGCGTATCGCCTAAACCTGTGCTAGAACTAGATTGTTGTTGGTTACCAGTCGTCGACGACGCCACGGACTCAGCTGTCGAGACTTCTTCCTGAAAAATAAGCGATTTTTCTTTCGGCAAACCATTTCGTTCTACTCGACATAGAAGGAGGATGTTGCGAGTTACATGCTGATAGTTTTGCCAAGGTTGTTAAAATTACCTTTACCGATTGTTGCTCGACGACTGCTGCCACAGACGGTGGTGCGCTCGCATCTTCCTTGACCTCGTCCTCGATGACAAATTGACCTTGCCGAAATAATTCCAACTCGTGCTTCTCCACTTCGGGTTTCAAACGTTTATTCTTTATAAGAATTTTACGTTTGAGCATACTGGGCGGTGGTAGGGGCATCCCTGGTTCTAGCTGTTTTATCAAACCATATATCAATATATAATATCTCTTTCTGGTTCCATATCTGATCTTGCGTGTGTAGTTTCTATCTCTTAAAACATGCCTATGTAATTTAATCACGAGTACTCGAACATATTGTACCGAACAGCAGAGATAACCTCCGATAACAATGAGTGGGAGCACGTTATTCTTGTCTATCGATAGAATTCGCGATTTCGATTGACGTATTTAATTTTTTATCGCGAGAATCGATGAAACATTTCGCCGTCGAAGCAACTATCGTAAGATATTGGAGACCGACGAGCAAAACTCACGGGAAATTCTTTGAGAGGCTCCTTGAGAAGCAGGTCTCCTAGAATTTCGTCGCAGTACTTCGCCAGTTTGTATTGTTGCTTCTTGCTGCAGTGGTTTTCGAAGCTAAGAATAACCGGATATTCCGATGTGACGAACGCAGTGTCTCGAACTGCGTAAATAACATCTCTGAAGAGAATGTCCGTGCACATAGCTTTGCCGTGTGTAATTATCGGCTCCTCGTCCTCGCCTTTGCCATCCCAACAATCCAATTCGACGCACCTTCGAGAGGAACAACGCTACGTTCTAATATATCTGGGTAGAGTAACTTTTACTCTCGTTAACCTTACCTACAACCAGCTAACAACACTTGTCTGTACATCTCAACGCTGCTTTTGCCACCAAATTGTCGACCACTCAGATACGTATTGTGACTCGAGTTAATGTAATAATGAGCCAATGGTTGGTCCATATCCATGTAGACGTCCAGCCTGTCCAAGAAAACAGGCGCGTTCTCATCGGACATCAGATACCTTATAAAACCATCTTTCGTCATCGTTTCTGAAAGGACGTGATTGCTTCTGAAAGGATGGCATTTCGCAGGTACAAACTAACTCGAACACGTAGCCGATCGACGATTAAAATTTAGCGGAGAAGGCTACGAAATTTGGAAAGCAAGATATTATGATAAATTGATTAAAAATCTTACTTTGATTTCGCGCTATTTCGTTTTGTTCGTAATCGTTTATAATCTCTGACGCCCTCTTCTCGTCGTACAGCGGATATAAGATCTCGTTCAAAGTTGGATCCCGTTGCTTCTCGTTTAGAAACGTGACCAGTTGTTCCAAATTGATTGTGTCCGCTTTGCCCTGGGTGCTGAGAATATTCAATGCAAATAAACCATCGTTTCTGCGTATATTAACGAATCAATCTCGAATAGCGGAAATATGACGTACGAAAATTATACTTCCTGCACTTACATGGATTGAAACAATTCCTCTATGTCATTCCTCGGGCAAATTTTGTGGTAGAGCGCGTAGAATGCGTCGAACGTGAAATCCTCTGGTTCGATGACATCGTTCTACGAAGTCGTAATCAGAGTTTTAATAAACGTACCACAGGATGTTTTCTGCACGTTGTGTGCAAGTAATTTATTTGTAAATACCTTCCCGCTAGATAGGCCTAAATCGGCGAGGCACTGATAAACAAGCTTTTCCGTTTTTCCAGATGCGAAAGTTCTTGCGACCACTTTCACCGGAACTTTTCCATTTGGATCGATCAACATTCTAAGCCGCATCCAGCTGGAACATGGCAAGGAAGGCTTTACTTTTCAACAATATTCCGCGTAACTTTCTCGTTTATATTCGAAAAAGCACGAAATCACGAAACGTTTTCTTTTCTCGAAGTAAGAATATCTCGTGTTTACACTCTCTTACTCGATGCAAGTTTCAACATGCAAAGTCGGATATAACAAAAGTTTTCACGGTGAAACTTGGGATGGAAAAGTCTAAAATCAATATCGCGAATAAATAGTCTGCCACCGGAAATTGTTCCTGGCCAATTATTTCATGGCGATCATATTTACGATCAATTGTGTAGGTGTAATTGCATTAGTAAACTCACTGTTTCTTCAAGCACGTAAGCGGGCAAACGTTGTTGGCTTTCACGTTGTGCGTAATCGATCGTACGCCATCCAGCCATATCTGTCATAGGACACAGCAAACACGTGGGCTTATTGATTATGATAATAATTGCTTAACCAATGGATTGGAAAGTTTTTCTTCATGATCGATTTAAATACGCCCTTTTTTTCTAATTTGACGAATGTCGCACGGAGTAATCTTATCACTATCTCATTCGATAATTTACAGGTCGATTTACTTCGTTTACTAATTTTTCAGAAGAATGATCAAACAGACGAGATTATATATCGAGTAAATTTACCTTAGCCGTTGCTGGATCCGGACAGACGACATGCTGGTAATTAATATTGGTATAATCTACGCCTGAACAGATGGTTAAACATTTCTCCTCTAACTGCTCTCCGTGTTTCGTAAGAAGCTTGTCGTACAATTTTGGATCCTGAATAAAATTAGAGAATGATCTTCAAATAGTTTACTCGGTCTGGAGCTTAAATAAAATATATATATAAAAAAAAACGTATATATCGTCGATCGAGTATCCCATTGCTGCTTTTTCTTAAGAGGACATCATATCAGACGTGTTTCCACGTGAAACATCCCAAATATCGAAATATCAAAACACTTGTAAACCCTTGAAATGAATCGCAAACGTTCGCACCACTAATGCATCGATTGTTACATGCAGTTGCATTCGATAAATAGATTTTTAAAAATCCAGATATGATACAGTTTCTTTTTTTTTTTGTCTCTAACATTCACGTTGCTCAAAGGGAAAGACATTTTTACCTTTGGTAATCCACCGGCGCGTATATCGCTCACTTGGCACAACTCTATCACATCTCCGTCCTATACATAAAATAAAATATGACTCACTGGGATAATTAGATAATATACTCGCATTTCAATTTTCCATACAACGCGTTGCAACGAAAGAGATACAGTCTCTGTTCAGGATATAAGAGGAAAGTGCACTCACCTTTCCTTCGCTTTGCCAATAGATAAAAAACCCATATTCATCGACCTTAAACATGCAGTTTAATTCGAGCTCCGTGTTGTCCTTTTCCTCTGACCACCGATCGAACACGCATCCCTGACGAAGCGCTAGCGGTACCTCGATCTGCCAATTGAACTCGAACCTTTTCGTCATCTTTTTTGCACCAATTTGACCGCGTTAAGTTGCACACACGTCAGGTTTCGTCCAATTCCTATTAACGGTTTAAACAGTTTTATTAAACAATTCTGAAATTGTGACACAGCTTATCGCCATCCTACGTTTCATTCGTTTGCAAGCCTCGAAAGAAAGGATTCCCGATCGTATCTACTCGCAAGAAATAAAACACTTTTCGAGTGTAACAGATCTGTAGATTTTGTTCACTCAGTGTAATTATTAAATTACTATTAAGTTCGTCTAACCACGTGGACTTCGGTATGAAATTGCTTGAAATTACTAATCGCGGTAATTTTAACAAACTGCGAGGTCCGCCGTGTCGTTTCCATCGCACTAGCTCATTACCGATTCCGAAAGGTTACGAAAGCTCCCAAAGATTACGAAAGTCGGCCGCGCGCCGTGGAATACGAAACGATCTGTGCGGTTACTCTTTGATGCTGTTCATTTATTTAAAACGTGCGGCATTACACATGGAGCGCCAATCGATACGTTGGTTCGATTAACTCGCGTATACGTAGTGTGCCCCTTGCCTTAATAGTATTCTCCCAACCTCAATTGAGTGTTAACCTCCGAGAGAATGAACGCAATACGTGCTTTGGCCCCTTTTACCTGCATCAAAATCCAATTAAACGTTGATCTGGTTACGGGAAGCTCCGTTCAACGTGAAACATCCAACGTTAGTTGGCTTTCTAATGGCGAAATCTCGTTTAATAGGGAATCATCTTTGCGGACAAATCGAGCATCGCGACACCGCAAAATCTACGAGAACGTCAGTTTTGTTACTATCGACTTCGGAAACACGATTCATGCTAACTTTAACGGCATTTTCTCAGCTTCGAATGCTGGCTGCTCTCTCCAGGGACAGAGTTAACCAAATTTCTCAACCCATTTTTCTTGTATGTACATTGGAAAATTTGCATCTTATGCATTTATATTACCAGCATCTGTTCGGAAACGTCTTCTTTGTTCTTCTCACGATGGAATGAAATACGATCGGATCGGTCGAACCGATAGCTCGGATAGAGGATGTTAGATCGTTTAGCAAAGGCCATTCGAAATGGACCGCTTTTGAAATCACGGCACAAGTTACGCTACATAACCGTGAGGTTTTCTGTTTTTTCGAACGGTCGATATTGTATCGAAGCGCAAAGGATTTACTGGCATCGTTGCACTGATTGACCTTTATTCCCTGGCTACAAAGTAGGACGAACCATAGACAGAAACGGCTAGGTGAAAATAGAACGATACTAGAATACACCACGGCCTCTGTATCAGGAAATGTATCCTGAACGATTGGCTATGTTTCACGAGTTCAGAGATGGCTCTTATTATCTTCTAGGTGATTAAAATTCATGTTTGCTAGCACCCGGGCGATACAAAAGAACCCGCTGTAAATGGATACTAAAGTTTTATCTTTTGTGGATGACATCGAAGCACGGAACAAACAACGCAATAAGACGATATAGATCACTTACGACGTTAAGAACGTTTCTTCCTGGCTGGCTTGCACATCTTAGTTTTCTGCTACACCTACGACAAGAAAAATCGAATAAATTTGGTAAATGCAGTTTCGCATATCTCAAAGAAAGAGTCAAAGTCTAAGATTCTATACATAGCAATCGGTATACAAATTGATTTCACGGAACTTTATAATCAAACTTTGGTGGATATTTCACGTCGCTGTCAAACATCGTTTTTCTTTAACTGTTATCCTGTTTCCGGTCAATACAAAGCTGTGCATGTTTCATTCGATCTTTGATACATCAGATTCGTGGAAACGTGCGAAGTATTTATGGACGAAAGTTGAACTAACATCGCTCGATACTAAATTAAATGCAACATACGATATCTCATCTCAATTTTAGTTTTGCCTGGGAGGAGAAAAATCGCAGATAGTGTGTTCGGTACTTACTATCCATAACGCGATGCAATGCTTAACGATATATCGAGATTTACTATTGCTATTGTCGCATAAAACTCCGATGTTGACGTTGAATATTACAGAAACGCAGTGCTAACGAAGTGCAATTAATAAAACGTTTATCGCTCGTGCAACACTGACTATCATTCGGTAACTGGATTTATCATTCGCGAACGAGAAAGGTCGAGCACCTATCAATGTCTCTATCGTCTACGGATATCCCGCCCCGTTTTATCGAACATTATCTTAATTGACGCAAAAGGAAGTTTTGTAAAAATCAGCTAATGACGTCTGGCATTTATATTGAGTACTATGCGTACGAAAATGCCTTCGCGATACGTTTGTATATTATTCCTCCGTAGCTCTGTATTCGTGTAAAAATAAAGCTGAACCCTAAATCTCTAGACATTCCTTACATACCTCAAAGAAGAAGCAACAATGACTGTGTACAATGAAACCAAATGTGAGTATAACAAAGGCCAGCGAAACACAAAAGAAAATAAAAGCGAAGAAGACTGTTAAGGAAACGTAACTAAATATCCGAGTGTTAGAATTTTCAGAACGTTCTCTAGTCTGACCCTACTTGGAATAAAAACGATATACTTGACTATAAATATTCAAAGAAAGGCCAAAGCTGATGCTGGTTTCTTTCAATATCGTTAGAGGAATAACACTTACTCATATATTCATCGTCACATCGCTAATCATTAATTATACTTAAAAAAAAAAAAAAACGTTGAACGTTTCGCAATTGCAATGTAATTTCTAAGAACTAGTAATGCATCGAAGGTTTAATCGATGAAACTTGAAGAAATTACGCGAGCCGATACAGAGAATTCGTTCGTATAGTTATAGTCGTAGTTGTTTTATTTTATTTCCCCTACGCTCGACTCACCACTACACCGTATACCTCTGTATAAACCGGTTGTAGTACATATATACGGAGACGGTGCGTAAACAGAGGAGCGTTACGAAAATAATGTAGGAGTGCGGCTCGTGCCGGGCTTCTTTTCCTTGGCACGATGAAAACGTTTCTGGCGCCTGACAGTAAACGAATTCCAAGGAAGGGGCAGATGTAACGTAGTATCATAAGCGCGCGATTCTCTTCAGTTTACTTAATGGTAAGTGGTGATCGAGTATTTTGGTCGTGGAAGCGGAAGAACGTAGAATGCCGTAATATCTCGCGTCTTTGTTGATAGTCTACGGCATTGCTGAAACGGCCGATCGTAAAACTTCTCCATAGTAACTTTTTCATTGTATTTGATTAACATATCATTTACAGGTTCAAACATTCAACTACGTGCAAGCCTGTTAACTCTAATAATCCCATTCTTCCGATAATACCAAGTCCATCGTTCAGTTTTAAGTGTATTTAAAAAGGTAATGAGCAAACACGATTAAAGTTATTCAAGACGAAGGAAACTTCGACCTTCTGTGGAGTGAAGTGATATTGCTGATATAAATAACATTCTTTTATTACAATCTGCGAGTGTTAATTTTAAGAGGCGCACGAACGAAAGCCATTAAACAAGTTATGTATCGTGCGAGCAATCTCGTTGAATCATGAAAGATCCAAGTTATGTGCGTTACACGCTTATGCAATATCACGTAACGCCTTCACCCTGAACTCGCGCACACTGAATGAAATTATTGTACGATAAAAGCTTCCTGCGAATGAATAGAAATCGGAAGCAACAGACTAGACGCGTGTGTTCTATCAGTTTGATGTTTCCACGGCTTCATCCCTCGGCTTCTCACGCCAGGCTTTTAAAATACGGCATTATCTCTGAACTAGCCATTACATGTTACGTACACACGTTCGTAAATACAAGGTAAACGTTTGCACTTTGATAAGTGGAACATGGTGAAAAAATATTTGCACAGCCGACGAATACCGGTGTTACTTGAATTTGGAGCATAGGCGATTACACAGAGAATGGCCAGCGAGAATTTCTTCACGCCCCAGATTAATCGACAAGTGACAGTGGTTCAATTACCGCTTGTGGATCGGTAATTACATAACTTCCGGTGAAGGATGAGTTGAGCAGGCGCGACATTGACCGCTCAATCGCTTAATACGTTGGCCGGTCTCCTCAAGAAGAATGGAAATAAATGAGGGTCATGACCCGTATTGAGCGAGAGTAATGGAAGAGATCTCGCGATTCTTTCAGCCTTCAGTTCCAACTATTTCGCAGTTTATTCGTTGTAGACGCTGGTACCTCATAAACTCATAGACACACAGTTCTAATTTGGTTATTTCTGCGTAGAAAATCTATGATTCATTAGCAAGTTATTGCGAAGTTTACGGGCCTTGTGAAATTTGGAATTTTTTCTCGAAAAGTTATTATATAAATATTTACAAGTTGTAGGACCTTTAATCGTCTATAGTCTACGTCAACGATGCTACGCGTTTGTGTTTCGTTAACAAGTACGGTCGATATCACGTGGATATTTATAAACCAAACACTTCCAAACAATAGAATAAAATACCTCGATAAACCATGACGCGATTATCTGCGAAAAGAACGCGAAGCTGAGGTATCGGTCACGACGAAGATATCCGCGAAGGACGGCAATTACATTTCCTCGCGCCTAACAAGCGTAATATCCAAAGCGGCTATTTTCTATACTCGTGTAAAGCCCAATCCCCTCCAGCGAGAAGGTCAGAAGTCAGGAAAAAAGGAGCAAGAAGGGGGAGAGAAGCAGATAAAGTGCTTGATGGTGGGTGACAAGCTAATATCGAGGATGGTAAGGTGGCCGAAGGGACCGACTAGGAGGCAATATCTTGTAATGGATGTGATGTTTCTCGGCAAACTCATTCCATGGAAGGTTGTGCATTTGCCTAACCATTTCTCTACCACGCTTCTGATTCCCTTGACCTCGAAAATCCCTCCGGAGATCTACAATCAGGGTCGTGCGAGTCCTTGCCGTTTTTCCTCTTTTACATTCTTACCTAACGTCTTATCGTACGTTGCTCGCACGACTCAGCTATCAATTAGCAAATCGTGCACTCGTCACGCTTGCCACTTGCTACGATACGTTTATCTGGCTATGTGTTTTACTTTCTAGGAATGTGCGCTCACGAAACAAGTCACAAGCGAAACGCACGGAATGTAATGCTCGTGGGTCAGCACGCATGAGCGGTACGTAAACGCACGGGGAAGACAAACAGAAGCAGGACCGATGGCGAAGAGAAGGAGGAAGGGAGACAGAGGAGCGTTCAGATGAAGAGAGCAATAGGAAACGAGAGAGATGAGGTGATTAGAAACAAAAAAAAAGAATAAAAAAAAAAAGAAAAAGTAAGGAGAAAGAAAAAAGAAAAGAAAGTACATAGTTTGAGATAACTGGCGGTTGACGAACACGCGTGTATCTCGTAAATGACGCTCTGTGTTAACGGTTATCCAATTGACAAAATCCCGTTTATTGCGACAACGTTTCAATTACGTCTCGAGCGAAATGAACGAAACGAATTGATCGAATCGTATACAGCTTCCATACAAATTCGACACGTTCGTTCGCTGCGAAATCGAATACACATCTAGGTCTGTGAATCGTCAATTACGTCTATGCCACGCTCGACGATTCTCTAGCATTCGATTCTACATAAATTTATAAAACGTCGACCGATAGTTTATACGGTTAGCAAGCGTCCAAGGTTCCGGATGAAACGCAATGTGCCTGTGACGTGCAGTAACCATGAACGGTCGTGTACGATGTCGAGCGCGCGCACACACATATACAGAGGCGC